GACATAACCGTCGACTGTTACAAAAGCGCAGGGCAAACTTCTATCCTTTTTCTTCTTTGAGGCCAAGATCTCAATTGCCCGGGCCTGGAAAGCCTAGACAGTCCCATTCTCTACTGTAACGTCTAAGCTCAATTGGATTATGACTCATAAGAAGTTGTACAGTTTCCTGCAGGACAGACACGCTCAATTTGAAGTGGTATGGGAACTCTGGCTGAGCTATACAGGTATCTCAAGTCCTCCTTAAACACCACCGGTCCCGCACAGGATATTTAATGTTTCTGGCGTTTGGGTATCTAGAGCCTACACTTATTCTTTCCCTCTTTCCCTCTAAGTGTTTTGGTTTTTTTCTTCACCGATGACATTTTTTTCTTCTCCTCGGTAGCCAAACAGATAGGACATAAGTTTAACTGTTGAGCCATTACTGTGAACTTTATTGAAGGATGATATGACTTATTTAATATCTCCCAATAACATGGAAGACTGTTATTTTAATATCATGATGTACCGACTCTGAGGCCTTAATGTTATTGCCCAGTGATAACTAAGGAGGTGGTACTGTTTAGATTCTGTCGTCATACTTGACTTTATTTTTATTTTGTACATGTTAATTGATGTAACAAACTATTTCTTTACAAAAAATACAAAACTTTGAAAGTAAAATTTAAAGTTCCGGTATTGGCTTTTAGAATCGGGCGATTTTCACAAGTTCTCATGAAAATGCCCTGTATCGGCCCCGATACCGATACTAGTATCGGTATCAGGACATCCCTAATTTTGAAGTTTAGGTACATAGTGAACATAGTGAGTGCTTTCTTTCTCCAAAAGTCCACTTTAATAATTATTCTTCAGTACAAGAGTTCTGTATAGCATTGCGGTGGCTGCCAATAAAGAACGGAAAATACGCCTGCTTTTGGGTTGTGATACATAACGTAGGTTTTCATAGCGTGTGGCAGTGGTGATGTTGTCTGTGTTGCTTTTGATCATGTGTAGGAAGTGTGTTATTTGACTTATCTATTGATTTTCCAACTCTGGTAGTACTTTTAAGGTATTCCAGGGAGTGAGTGCCTCTGCAGGTTGTAAAGTGGTCAATCTGGAGGAGGATCATTTCATTCTGATAGAAATGCTATTTAGAATATTTATTTCTTTTATCAATAGTGATTTATAAGTACTAGTGGAGGAACTAAATAATAAAAGAAAAACCTTTTCCTGACATCTCTATGGTATGACACGTGTTGACTCCTCCCCTCTGTTGAACCCTCTAGGGCATTTATCAATTAATTTGAGTCGCACGCTAGCAGGGTTGTTCCTTTTTCATCCTGTAACTCCAGGATAAGTCTCCCTTTCTACTGCAGTGAAAATGTGGTGTTTGTCAGATACGTGAGTTACAAACGACTGTCAGGGAATTGATAATAATATGCAGGGGTTCCTGATGAAGTCAAACGGCGTAACGCATAGGGCAGAACTAATGACGTCATACCGCCTAGGTGAAGCTGGTTAGTGATCCCCAGTGCAACGAAAAGCTTGTTCGTGATCCCCAGCGTACCCTTAAGCTGGCCATACAACTAGAGATTATCTGCAGATTTTCTATGGTAAGATGGAAAAAGTGCAACAGATTCCTCCAGGGCCGACTAGCAAGATACCGAAGCTTGGCCCAGTGGGAGGTTCCTCCATCCACACAGTTTAGCGTAGCTGGAGGAATCTGTTGCACTTTTTCCATCTGACGGCAGACAATCTATAGGTGTATGAACAGCTTAATGCTTACTTTCAGCAGGATTTAACCCCTTCGTGACTGACGACGTACAGTGTACGTCGCCAGCATCGGGGCTGTTTAAACAGACTCCCGGTGACTTTTGCCTCCGGGACTCTGTTTAAACTTGTAGAGCCGACTGTCGGCTTTACAACAGAAGCGATCCTGGATTTAAAATGTGAGTGGTTTTATTATTATAATAAAGATTTTAATGTTATATGGGTTGCACTATGTTGTAAGCATTTGTTCTGTTGAGTCATCCATCGGTTAGGATGCGGTACTGGTAAAGTAAAGAGAGGAGGAGGAGCGATCTTCGCTGATTAACAATCTACAGAGATCAAGGAAGGAGAGTAAAGATAAAGCAAGTGGGTTCTACACACAAGTGCATGTGACCGTATCTTAATTAAGATAAGGTCCAAGAACGAAGGTGAGCGCCATTTAGTTTGAAGTGGCGCACAGAGCAAGGAGGTGGAAAAAGTTGGACCTGAACTTTGTAAAGTGGATTGAATATTAAACTTGCTCAACGGGGTTACTGAAAGCACCATTTGCACTTGAAGGTGACACCTGATAGACATATGTAAAGTAGGGATGTTCAGATACCAGTTCAGATACATGGCATTTCACAAGAACTACCAGGGATGCTGCGGTTGCAGTGGATGCAGCTGGGACCTGGCTCTGGTGCTCCATCACTGTCCTGAAATCATTAGTCTGTATTGTTTTAGAAAAACTGTCACATGACAATAAACAAACATGTATCACTACTTGTATCTGTAAATACTTGGACAAGTATCGGTACTTGTACTTGAAAAAATGGTATCGGTGCATCCCTAATATATATTTATAAAAAATAACCATACATTAAAACCGGGATGTACAAATCCCAGGAGCTCCGTGTGCTCCTTACAAATGACAGCTGCCTCCTAACTTTAAATTTTTTCTCTAGTCTAGTCTAGAGCTGGAAACGTATCTGTACTTATACTTAGTATCTGAACATCCCTAATATAAAGATTTGTTTTGGTAATAATTGTATAAATCAAACACGGGAAGAGGTTTCATTTATGTGATTCATACACAGTGACACGTGTTTTCAATTCATGCACTTTATTGAAATGTTTTTTTTTTCCACAAGAATTTATGGCTGAACATGTCACGTTTGAATAATTATTCACTTCTATAACACTGTATGAATGTTCTTACTCTATTATTATCAATTTATCAGTTTAGAAGTATGTAACATGCCAGCTTTAGCATTTGGAAATTTGTATTTTAGTGCAGAAGTTGGTCGTAGATCTTTCCCTGGGAATAGCTATGGCTCCAGTGAGGGTTATGCCAGTTAAATGTCTTCCTGTGAGCCCATGCGGAGGGGGTACCTGCAGTTACAGAACGCCAGTGATACATTACTTCAGGTGGATTCTCTACTTTAGTGGATGATAGGTTAGTGTTTGCTCCGTGTCTCCTTAGGCTAGCTCCAAGTACTCTTGTCATCTCCTTTGACCTTTTCAGTGTGGTCCTTAGGGTTTCTGGATGTGTTTGAGCGGCTGTTCTTATTGTACCATTGCATCCCTAATAAATTTAAGTAGTCCAGGTTGATTATGGTAGAACCCACAGAGACATGATCCTCCATTGTATAGTCCTTTTCAACCAGGCGATTGTGGTTTTTATGTTGCACATATTTCCAGACTATGGGATCAACTACATGTTAAAACTGCTTCACTTCCAACACTCTGAAGCTAATGTAATGTAAATGAAGTATGCCACAGTACTATCAATTTAATATCGGTCTCACCTGTAGTTGAGCCTTAAGAATGGTACAGCAATTAACATACACATGAGTGTGTTCCTTCCTGGGCTGCACATTTAGGGCTCATTCAAAGGAGCACGCACATCCTTATGGCATGCCTGCACATGTAGAGACCTGCTCCCTGGAGGGACAGATGCTGTGTATAATTGCATGCAGCTGCCTGTACATCCCTATGGGAGGACGTGGCTGCACGTGGCTACATGCTGACCTGAACCTCCATATATATGCAGGTCCAGGTGCCTGTACTTGGACGGCCTGGGCGATGTGAGCGACTGTGAATGAGCCCTAAGACATTATAAGGTGTTAAAGCTGATCTACAGGATAATATTTACCCCCTCCCACCCCTCTCTAACTGATCGCAGGCTTAAAATAAAATAAAAATGGAAATGCCCTTTTTACTTACCTAAAGCCATAGTCACTCCAGTACCAAGTCTTCTCTCTTCTGATATTTACATTAGGCAGGGTCCTTTGGGAGTCCACATCACTGCATGTGTGATATGGACTCTTCCTATTGGCTGTGTAGTGGTGGGGTGTCAGGATCCAGAAGAGGAGTGAGGTCATTGCAAGGGGACTGTAGAGGACTGGCTCAGTCAGCAGTATCTGCAGTGCTGGATTGGCAGTCCCACCAGCCGGAAAACAGCACCAGCGAGGGACCTGGATGGGGGACTTAGGTTAGTATAACTTGCAGGATTGGTTAGAGGGTGGTGAGAGGGAGGGAGGGGTGGTTAGAGGGATTAATATTATCTCAGAGAGGGGCTTTAAGTAGAGTCGATATCAGGTTTGTCTTAAAGAATGTACAAAGCATAGAACTTTTTTTAGATTATTGTATTGATACACAAGTACGGTATGTTGTTTAGCAGATGTTATTATTATTTTATTCTTTTATTGTTATATCTCTACCTCTAGCATGTGCAGTCTTCATACATAAATCATGCATGAATGGATATGGAGAAGGCAGCACCACTGGCACACATTGCCATACTAAGGAGTGTCGTAATGACTATGCAAATAATGTCTTCTTTCTTCTGATCAGCATTGAATGTGAATTGTTTGCTTCATGACATATTTTTTGTGGAATGTTTAGACTATGATATGTGTGAGACTACAAATCTCCTGAGTATGTACTTGCACTGTGTCTACGGGATGCTCGCCCTTCTAACTGCTATGATTTTAAAGAGCTTGTGCCACGGCCAGCGCTGTTATCATTGCATCTAAATAGCTTTGGCACCAGAGTGTGAGAACCGACATTGTAACATAGAGACACTAAATTTAGAAATGTAATCACCCCCAGGATCTCTGGAGTCACACAGCATGCTCGAAACTGTTGAGCAAATCACAAATCAGTTCACTCTTTAGTTTTTGCTGTTGATACAACTTCTTGTTTTCCTGGCAGAACAGACACCTTATGCTTCTTATCCATCATAAACACATAAAGATAAGAAAGTTTACATAATGATACTGGATGGATTGCAGTCATTTCACAACCAGAGCAACTACACCTGCTGCTTTTTCGAGGATCCTCTTCTCTCCTACATTCTTCCTCCACTTCTGACTATCATCTTTGTGTTGGGATCATTATTTAATGGCATTGCTTTGTGGGCATTTTGCTTTCACATCAAGGTATGGAAATCTAGCACAGTCTATCTCTTCAACTTGTCAGTGGCCGATTTCCTGCTCATGATCTGCTTGCCCTTCAGAACAGACTATTACTTGAAGAAGAAAATCTGGTTCTATGGAGATGTCCCATGCAGAGTGATGCTGTTCATGTTTGCTATGAACAGGGCAGGAAGCATCTTCTTTCTTACTCTAGTTGGCTTGGACCGATATTTTAAAGTTGTTTACCCACATCATAGAATCAACTCCATGTCCATCAAGGCTGCTGTTGTTACTGCCTGTGCTGTATGGCTTGTAGCTATATCACTAACTGCCTTCCTTCTTACCAAAGACCATACTGGAGGGAATGTGTCCAGGAAAGCATACTGTGACAGCTTTATTGTGTGTTCCGCATACTCATGGTGGCATGATCTCCTTTTCATTATCGAGTTTTTCGTTCCTCTGTGTATTGTCCTGTTCTGTTCTTACAGCGTCATCTGGAAGCTGAGACAAAGGAACATGGACAGAGACTTGAAGATTAGGAAAGCAGTCAAATGTATAACACTTGTTGGGGTAGTGTTCTGTGTATGCTTTTTACCAAGTGTGTCCACCAGGATTGAAATCTTAAGACTCAAAGCATCACTGCAGGGAAATAGCTGTAGCATCTACAGAACTGTAGAGACTGCTTTCTTCATCACGTTATGTGTCACATACATGAACAGTGTGTGCAATCCTTTGGTTTATTACTTCTCTAGTCCTTCAATGAGAACTTTTTACTTGCAGATTCTAATAAAATTCAAAATATGTCCCAAATTGTCCTGTCCAAAATCACGTGTGTGCTTTTAAGGACAAATTCCAGCTATAGGAAGTGAATACCTATTTAAGATCTGTAAAATTGTTATAGACAGGGCATCTGCGCTAAGGTGGTCACTGACTTTATTTATTTTGGGGGGTATGCTTATTTCAATATAGGTTGGAACTGCAAAGAAAATGTAAACATGTAAATTCAGGAATACAATATACAACAGTGTCATAATATGTTACAGTGTTTGTGATTATAAGGCATATTGTACATAGGTTACAGGTTAAGTGTGTGTGTGTGTGTGTGTGTGTGTGTGTGTGTGTGTGTGTGTGTGTGTGTGTGTGTATATATATACACATATACACACACACACACATATACATACATATACACATAT